GGCGGCCGAAGGCCCGCAGCCTATGGAAGGGGACCAGCTTGTCTTTGGGGTGTTTCTCTCTCCTAAAACATAAAAAAAAATAAATAAATAAAAATAAAACAAAATAAAAAAGCAAAACAAAATAAATACATTTATCCACTTTATTCTTATTTATTTTTTGCTTTTTTAGTTTTGTTTTACTTTATTTTACTTTGTTTTGCTTTATTTTACTTTATTTTGTGTGTTGTCTTTGGGGTGTTTCTCTCTCCTAAAATACATAAAAATAAATATTTATCTATTTTACTTTTTTTTATTTTATTTTATTTTATTTTGTTTTATTTTATTTTATTTTATTTTGCTTTGTTTTGCTTTATTTTATTTTATTTTACTTTTTTTTCGTACTGAAGGGGGACTATTATATTATATTATATTATATTATATTATATTATATTATATTATATTATATTATATTATATTATATTACTACTACTATTATATTATATTATATTATATTATATTATATTATATTATATTATATTATGTATATAACAATAAACAAATGCTGCTGCTGCTGCTGCTGCTGCTGCTGCTGCTGCTGCTGTAGGGGGAGCAGCAGCAGCAGAAACAGAAGCAAAGGCACACACGAACGACTGCAGCAACAGAAATATATCAGCAGCAGCAACAACAGTACTAGCAGCATAACAAGCAGCAGCAGCAGCAGCACCAATCACACCAGCACCACCACCACCAAAAGCAGCAGCAGCAGCAGCAGCAGCAGCAGCAGCAGCAGCAGCAGCAGCAGCAGCAGCAGCAACACACCTTGTTTTGCGAATTCCCCCAAAGATGGAGGGGAGGACGCCGGTGGCGGCCTCATACAATCGAACGGCTTCATTTTCAAGGACAGCTGAAAGCAGCAACACACTACGATAGCTAGCTAGCTAGCTAGCTAGCTAGCTAGCTGCTGCTGGCTAGCTAGGCTAGAACAGCAGCAGCAAGACAGAACGCAAGCAGCAACTGCAGCAGCTAAAACATGAAGAGCAGCAGCAACCCCTAAGCGCATCTTTCCCCCAGCTAGCTAGCTAGCTAGCTAGGTAGCTAGCTGGCTAGCTAGCTAGCTGTACCTTGCAGTTTGGGGTCGATATCCTTTTGTGTCTCCCGGGGTGTCTCCGCAGGGGCCTCGATTTGGGGTGTATGTACAGCTGGTAGGTCTAGGCTGTCTCCTACCTCATGATAGTAAGACCAGGGTATTGTGTATTTCTGTTTTTTTTTTCTTTCTTTTTGCTGCTGGTTGCTGCATGAAGGGGGGGGGCCCCACCACCCCCCGGGGGGCCCCCCAGGTGCAGCTGGCTGCAGCAGCTGGCTGCTGCTGGCGCTTGTTTTTGGTTTTTTTTTTATGTATTTTTTTTTGTCTCTTTTGTATTCTTCTTTTATATAGTCCTCGAGAAACACCACCTCATGAAACAA